TTGTCAGTAACAGGAAATTGCTCGATTTCAAGACAAGAAGATTTCCGTGTGTGTGTCTGCTTAAAATAAACAAGAGCTCCGTCACGGCAGGAGCAAGCTTTCCTAATTAGGCAATTGTCGGTGCCCTTTCGAGGGCCGCAGCGGGTTTCTGCCTAGCATGATGGCAGCCTTTTCCTTCTCAAACTTTTTTTGTTCCCTTTAAAACTTCTTCCTCGCCAAATTTTCTTCTTTTCAAATTTCTTCCCCTCCTTTCTCGTCTTCCATATTCCAACACCACCAGCGCCATGTCGACCTGGAAGTTTGATTTCACTGGAAGGGTTGAGAAACTGACGCGAAACGGGAATTCCAAGGATATGATCATCGAGAAACAACTCACAGAAGTAGAGAATGAACAGTCTGCCCAGCGTAATGCTCTTGTCCTTGCTCATTGATTGGACTCAGGTCTCCGTGTGATGCTAAAGATTCGCTATGAGTAAGTGAAACAGAAATTTCCTTTCTAGAAAAACCTTTACTAAGATATCCAGTTTGAATCCAAGGGGGTTCGACATTGATGACCTACAAGAAAACCGGGCATTGTGTGAGGATGATTATCTCAGCGAATTGGAAATAGTGGAGACTGTACACAGCATCAACCATGGCCCGGCATTGTTAGACTGGTATACAAAGCGTCAACCAGAATACATGCCATACCCCAAAGAAGGGATTATGGATGTTTACGTTGTGAGTCTCGTACCAGGAGAGAACTTGGATGAAATTTTCGAGGATCTTGGTTGGGAACACTTGCGGGTAATAAGGGCTCAACTTACTTACATCTTGAAGTAAGGACAGTGCAAAATCAATAGACTTTTTTACAAGCATAGCTAACGGACATTGATTCTAGTACACTGCGAATAGAAGGGCGAATCCTAAGTGAACAACATCCTAGGTTCCTTAATTATGATAAAAAGGCTAAAAGATTGTTAGTTTACGACCCCATATGTTATACAATAACTTCTACTAACAACGGCTAGATACTTTTTTGATTTCACATTCTTCAGGGAAATTCCTGTGGATGAACAGGACAAGTATGGTCCAATCACTCAATACGATGATTGGGTCCTCGCCTTTAATATCTGGCCCTATGAGATGCTTCGTTCTGAGGCCCCGGCGCCCACTGTTACCCAAGGTCCACCAACTACCCCAGCGACAACCCAATATGGCACACAAGGATTGGGATTTTCTTTACCTCCACCAATATTACCTTCGCAAATGCCATTTTCACGGCAAGTATTCCTAGGGGCGTCAAGGAGACGTGATCGAGATGAAAACAGACCACCCCAACGACGCCCGGGTTCCTCTTTCGCGCCGGAGGTTCCTTCGGGAGGAATTTCAAATCTGCAGCTTGATGACGACGATGACGAGGGAAAACCGGGAAACTATCAATGAGGATCTTTATATGCCCATCTTTTTGTAATTTCAAATCAGTTCCAAAATCAGTCTGCCGTTTACGTTTCAGGGCAAGAGGGGAAAATAATAAAAATCATTTTTATTAGCTTTTAGCTCGAGAGTCTTTGAGCTCTCGCTTTTTATTTTCCCATAGCAGTTGCTTTTTCCTTTTGCTAACGAGTTATACAGTTTTATTTCACATCAGACACGCCACCCATTTCCATCTGAAGGACTAACAACCCCTAGGAGAACGCAATAATTGCTCCTGTAATGCTCCACAAAAGACAGTGTCCCCAATCTCACATTTATTGCTATTGAATTTTTCCCCTCCATAGTACATAGTGATGAAAGTGAAGAATTGGGTGTTACATAAAGCGGATTCCAATTGGCTACTAAACTTGGGAGCCTACTGCCTATAGTGAGGCCTGCAAGGCTGCAAGCACCGAAGCTTCCTGAGTTCGCTATCAAGTTGATTAAATTATGCGTGCATGTCAACCCCTCCCTTTATTTCAATATATATATATATATATATATATTCCCTTTTCATGGTTATTATGAAAGAGACTTTGTTCTAACCAACCTTTGTGGGCACAGATTTGAATGGGCCTTCGACCGACGCTAGATTATGCACCACCATACAGGCAATGGAATGGAGATGCAGGTCGAATTTATTACATTGTGGGCCCCAAGACGCTGAAAATCGAAGTCCAAAAAAATTCTCCAGCGGATGCGGAAATGTTAAGGGGGAAGGGCATTTCTGTGGCATCTTTGATGCTACTGTCTGGAGAATCAATCGAGACGTCATGCGAAGCTTCAAGCAGACCAACACCAAAAAGTTTATCAGGCCTGGAAAAACACCACTGTGCCAAACAGAGGCCACTGAGTGGTGGTCCCGGTATTGGTCGTGTATTTTTGTCAACAAAGTTCTACAAGATCCCGAAGGAAATGGTTGTGGAGAGTGGTAGGGCGTGGATCGAGGGAAAACAACGTTACAGTCAAATAGGAGGTTGCTAAAACCCTTGTAATAACGGTTTTCAGCCTAGTGGTCAACCATCTGACACAAGACTAGAAAGTTGGAAGCCTGACAGGCAAATAAAGTATGATTGCCTAATCGGGGCAAGTCTGTTAGTTCCACTACATCAAGATGGACAAAATTATAAAGTGACAGCACTACGTCACTACTTGGTATAATCTCGAATAAAAACTGACAATCAGGAAATTGCTATTATTACCATTACTCTCTATGTATTTTATTTTGTATAGAATTAAGAACAAGGTCTAGAATTGGCAGAAGTAGCATCCAAGAGATCACGTTCCGACGCATCATTAGCGTGTTTGGGGAGTGGCGCGTGCGCGGCTGCGGGCTCATGGGCCGACAATGACAAGACAACAGTAATTATTTGCTCTGCGACATCCCCTCCGTCTCTATATTAGCAACGCGCCAATATATATCGAGAAAAAGAGCAGAAATTCAATTGTCTTTTTATTTTAATTAAATACACAAGAGTATACAAAATAATGCCGAAACGCAAAGCCACCGCCAGGATATCCGGGTTGGTTGACTCCGACAGCGACAACGACTTCGCGGACCCGGTCGCGTCGCAGCTGGATCCGATTGACGACCAACAACGACCTACGAAGAAAGCTCGAGGCAGGCCCAAAGCAGTATCATCAGGGCCTGGCAAGACTGAGGAGCAGAGTACGGCAACAGGGTCCAGGCGCCAACGTTCTTCGTCCGCTGGTACCACGAAGCAAGAAACTGCGACTGCTGCGAAGAAAACCGCTGGTCGAGGGCGGGCGCGTGGTGGTGGCGACGGCACAAGCGAGCAGGAAGATGATCAAATGTCGGATGCCGGCCAGGAACAAGTGAATACACCACGGGACACGTCCTCGACGAGGGCAAAGAAAGGCCGAGGGCGCAAAGCAGGAAGTTCGGCGAAGCAGGTCACCGACGACGGCCAATTCGAGTATACGCCAACAGGGTCACGCCAGCTGAAACCAGCTGGAATCCAATCGAAAAAACGCGGTGCACAAAAGCCGTCCCCGGACATCGAGGAGCCCGTGATTCCCGATAGTCAGGCTCCTCTTCCTGGAGGGAACGATGCAATATCGGACGAAGAGGATGAGGAAATAGAGACAATCGCGCCCACAAACTCTCCACGAAAGTCATCGGTGAACGGCCACCAGGCGAACCAGCCTCGAAAGCGGCCAACTGTGACATTTGCCGATGCGGAGAAAACACCATCAGACACAGATTTGAGGCGCAAATTAGGGGAAGTGACCAAAAAGTACGAGACGTTGGAATCAAAGTATCGCACTCTACGGGAGATTGGCATCGTGGAAGCTAATGCCAATCTTGAAAAAATTAAAAAACAGTGCGACACTGTCACGAACTGTAAGTCCGAATCCACTCTACTTGAATGTAAGGAATCCATTGCTAATAATTTATAGCGTCAAATAAACTCATAGCGTCGCTAAAGGAAGAGCTAGCCGCCCAAACAGCTCGAAGCAAAGAATCCCGAGATCTACAGAAACGACTCAAAGATCGCGAAGAAGAGTCCAACAATCTTCAATCACAAGTCGACGACCTTTCCGCAGAGCTGTCAACAGCTCAGACAGAGATCAAAACACTGCAGACCAAACTCGCTGCTGCACGCAACAACGCCGCCAGCGCCAAGTCGTTGAATGTCGAAGCGCCCGGAAGCGCAGTCAAGGCCATGGGCAACCGCAATGCTGCTGCTGTTGCCAGTGCTAATACCGAAGCGGTGCAGGCCGCTCAGCTTGCGCAACTCAAGGAAGATCTATACGGCGACATGACCGGGCTTATCATCCGCAGTGTGAAAGAAAGAGAGGCAGACCATTTGTACGATTGTATTCAAACCGGTGTCAACGGAAGTAAGTTTTTAAATCCTTAACAACATCCAAACAAAAAGCTAATTTTCAACTCCCAGCTCTACAATTCAAACTCGCCGTCGCCCACGAAAAAGGAAGCAAAACAACAGCCAGTCTCGACACGGCCGAATTCCTTTACATGCCACTATTGGACGCAAAGCGCGATGCCGCCCTGATAAGCATATTACCCGAGTATCTCACAGTTGATATCACATTCTCACGACAAAACGCATCCAAGTTTTATACCAGGGTGATGGATTCCTTGACAAAGCGTCGAATTGACCCTGAAGAGTAAGTATTAACATGGTCGGAGCTTTTGGAGTTTGGGAATGCATATTAGCCTTGCCTTCTTTTACCCCTTGTTATTTGGGTTTGTCTTTTAACGAGATTGGAGTGGATGTCTTTGGATACCTCATATTACATAGGGTTTGTAGGGAGTGACATGTTTGGCCATGGATAACATACTGGAATAATGTATGTATGAATATATCAGGCTGATGTATATATACTGTTAATATTCCGCACATACAGCTGTCTTTTCCCATTCGCAGCGTATTGTGTTACCATCCGGTATGCCTGAAGCGCATAATTAATAGATTCGCAACCCGAAGCTAACCCGAAACCGACACTCGAACCAAGGCCCTCAAAAATCAGTCACTTTAGCGCGGTTCTGTTGACAGATGGGCCCTGTGGTGCAGTGGTAGCACGTTGGCCTCCTATATGTTTTCTTGCTTATATCTAGCCAAGGGTCTAGGGTTCGATCCCCTACAGGGTCGCCATATTTTTACCTCAGCTAGCGGGAGGGGTTAGACCTTATTCGGTCGAGGTTTATTTTTTTTTTTTGCTTTTTTTAACCTCTGTTTTTCTTGCCTAGATTTACCGCCTTTTATCTACTTCAAGGGCACAAGGACTAGGTTATCGGACATTTTATTAAGGGTTATTAAAATTAATAATCGTCGCGTTCTTAAGTGACTAACACTGCGTGTTTCTCACTGCACTTGAGTAATCATTCGTGATCATAAACCATTAACCTATCATGATAGGACCTGGGGGAGCCCCTAGGAGATCCAGGAGCGCGTTGACCAGCACCTCGCCCAGCACAGCGAGGGTGCTGGGATCTGACAGACTGGTGAAAGCAGACGATGTCGAGCAGCCCGTGTCTACGGGGACTCCCCGCATCCTATCCTCCAACCACAAAATCGCATCCGGAGCACCAATGACGGCCATGGTGCCGTGCTCAGAAAGGTAATCCTTCTTGTACTCCACGGACGTTCCGGCAGCGCAGTATTGCGAGACCAGACTGTCTGTGTAGTTCACGGCGCTGATTTCATCATTGGAAGATTTGTAAACCAACAGCGGTATTTTGGGGGCATTGTGTCCCATTTTGTTCTCGTTGAGGACTTTGGTGACGGCAGGCTCTGTCAAGAAACTCGAGTTTGTGACGTATGAATATATATCTTTCCCAAGGTATGTTGTAATGTCTCCAACAAGGCATTGAGAACGGGCCTTTTCGAAATCGGCTTTTTTGGATGGGAGTAGGTACTCATTGATCACATTCTCGATCTCAGGATACTGGTTGGCCAAGCCCATGATGCCTGAAGGGATCAAACCGGTAAACAAGCCTTTGTTTGTCGCATTGATGACAGGCAGGATCTGCGGGACGGTTCCTCCAAGAGCTGCACCCACGATATTGAGCTCTGGCGCATACGACGGCTGCAACTCGGCGGCAAAGCCACTGGCAAGACTACCTCCTGAATACCCCCACATGGCGACTGTTGCATCGGATGAGATATTGGTAAACTTGGTCGAAGCTAGAGCAGCGCGAATGTTATCAAGCACCGCATGGCCAGACAGGTTGTTGGCCAAAAAGGTAGCCTTGGGGCCCAAGTGATCCGGAACGGCGACCACCCATCCCTGAGCGAGAACAGTTTCGATCAAAAGCAATTCGAGTTGGGGCATCATTAAGCCTAGGGCTCCGTCCGTCGCTGCCCCGAGTTGGAAGGCATACGACGGAGCACAGTTGGGGTTAGACGCATCCTCTGCCACTTGGTAGGACAGCAGCTTGGTGAAGTCGGCATTCTTGGGGACCAAGATGGTGGTCACAGAGGATGTGGCCTCTCCGAAGCTGTCAGTTGTTCTATACAAAATCTGCCAGGCAGAGTCCACATGGAGAGGGGCGATTGAAAACGCGGCAATTCCACCAGGAGGCGCTCTCGAAGCGAGAATGGTGCCAGGCGCGCTGGACTCGTATCCGGCAGGCGGAGTATAGAATGGGTCTTCGGTTGGTTGAGATGGCGTGGCTCGGCGTAGTACCTCGGTGGGCAGAGACCAGGCTGAAGCGGCCAGCCCAAGGAAAGCAACAATCAAGGACTGCAGTGCCATACCGAAAGCCCTCTATGTATGTATATATTTTCACCGCGAGTTGAGTCAATTGCCAGGCCGTGCTGGGGAGAAGAAAAAAAAAACCAGCTCAGGGCTGGGTGGTTGACCCGTCGAAGGAGGGCCCTTTTATAAGCGCTACTCCATAGCTATCTCGCTTATCCACCAGCCAGTACACGACGGAGCACTATAGCGCAGATTTTTCAGCGTCCAGCGCATTTGTACCGAGGATCGATGAAATTGCAGCTGGCGTTGATCCGTGACTAGTGGTCACAAGATGAGCTCGCGACGACCACGACGATCTGGGGGCCGCTGCAGCCCAGGCAGCTCCTTCCCCGCCTTTTAGCTCTTTGGAGAGTTCGAAATTCCCAGCGCTTCCGAGGCAAAAGGAATTGTGTTGAGTCTGTTGACGCTTACTAGTTGGCGCGCGAGACCCCCGCATTCCGGCAAATGAGAAAGCCAACTGTTGCCTGTTCGGGCTAGAGCTGGAGCGATTATGGAGATCGGGCTTTGGCGCTAGTATTTAGCATGAACCAGGCTTGCCCGTTCGGGATAGCGGGGCATTTAGCAAATCTGAAAATCCAGCTTTGTTTGGGCAGCGGAACGGAGAATTAATCTTATTGCGGGTCCTAGATAGCATCTTTGCAATTTGCGGTGGTATTCATGAATATATCTTTCTGTGAACATAGCAGTAGGTACATATGCAACCATTGTATACTACGTAATTGCCCGAACAGGCAAAAGAAAACGAACATATTTACAGTTTATCACACTGTTTCCGAATACAACACATACCATGTGTATTTCCCCTCACAAGGGCCGTATCTGCATCCAACCTTACTTGACGCTCAACCCCAGCCAGCATGGCATTTATGTGGTCACTGGTGCATAAATATTCCGGGTGATCGTCCCGCCTTCTGCAACATGCACATGCTTTTGGCATTGTTGATATGCTGCTTTTTCATAAATAATGACCGAGGCTCTTCTTGTCAGTGGAGCACAGTTTATACACCGCGGCGCCCAGTCAGCTTTGAATGTGAGGAACCAGCGTTAGCACTATTGGATACGATGGTATTTAGTTCTCGGACTAAGGCCACCGGCGCCATAATACGCAAGCGGAGAATGGGGAAGAAAACCTAACGGTCGTATATTCGTATAGGGTTATTTTGGTTTCCGAGACATAACGCAACCTTAGCTCGACCGCTGCGTATTCCTTGTCGTAAACGGAAAGGCAATTCAGTGAGCAGAACATTCCGAAATCCTTTACTACATCCTGCCTGGTGGAAGGATTCCATGCATTAACTGAAGGCCCAAACACTACCTCACCACCGAGGCCATCGTATAGATATCGTCTAGAGCATGTGAGGAATCAGCCTCGTTTAATGCCCAAGATCATGTTCATGCTCAATAGATATCGGCTTGCTGAACTTGTGGAGCCGCAGGCTGGATTTTCAGGGGTTCTGGAAAGCATTTACCCTAGACGGTCGAAAATCATAGGATGCTATTGGTTCCACCGCATATTTCTGGGGCTCCAGCAAGCACAATCAAGCTTCTTGGAGACTGTACGACAACAGCACCAGACAAATGAAATCGTAAACACGGCATCTCACTTCTTCGGCCGGCTAAAATGCGTTCGGCGTTGGTTTCCCTTATCACACGTGCATGGCCGAATTGCAATTTCTAAATGATCGCGGGTTCTCCATTGGCTACACATGTAAGGATTTACCCTTCTTGAAGTTACAACTTTACCAAAACTTCCATGTTGGACTTGGAATCTCCGCATGGGATCGGACATGTCGATCTGTGATAGTATTTGTGTGTTCAAGATAGTTCTGTTGTTTTAAAAGAGTGACATCATTCGAGCTATGATTCCGTTCCAAGGTCGTTAGAAGGCTTAGCTAGGCTAGGTCTAGTATGTTTTGTCGACGTCGTCTATATCACGGGGCCCGAAGAAAACCCCTGTCCCTTCCACCCCTGCAACTTCTGCAGCCGTTAGATCGACAACAGCAACGCCTTCAGTATTCGGAATAAATGGCGGCCAAACAGACCACCATATTATTTACAGCATTGCGCGCCACTTTTACCACGACCTACTCACGATTACCATGCTAAAGAGGACCTAAATACGAGCTTCTTTTTTTTTATTCGCCGGCGGAACTACCTTTGAAGGAGTTGTCGGGGGAAAGGAGACAGCTGCTGTTGCCCAGCAGTGTAGTTGCTAATGCGAATACAGATGACCGACCGAATGAAGGACTTCAGTCATTGACGCTAAGCTGGAAGCTATGTTGCGGCACTGTAATTCACCCTAATTTCTAATCCGGACTGTGGTATAAAGGCAAAAGGACAAATATCCAACTTTCGAGATGAAGCAAGACATTATTTTAAAGCTAATTGATGACCATCTCACAAGGATAAACCCACCATTTTGGCTCTTGAACCACACAATGAAATATGAAAAACCACTCTTCATGTTCGATATTACGGATGTCATCAAAAAGTGGCGGCAGCAAGATTGGACGTGAAATGATCTTCGTTAAAAGGCACATTGGCTGAGCCAAAATCGGTGGTATCGAGGGCTGTTTGAGCAACAGCCGGCAAAGACTCCCACGCAATCAAGGGTTGCGTTCCTCCGACAGTCGTTGTGAGTCCACATGAGTGGTCCAGGGGCCAGGTACTCTCATATTTGATCAACGGATGGGAGTCTGACAGAGTATAGCTCGACGTGGTACAGTCCCAGCCGCCATGGGCAGAAGGGCAGACTGCCACGACATTGCTGGCGTCGGTCGAAGTCGCAGAGGACAACCAGACGATAACTCCCTCCCAGTCATGACGGTGTCCCAGGCCGTCCGAAGGCTCGTCCTTGGGCATGTACCAAGAGTACATCAAGGCATAAGAACCGTTGTATGTGTCACCGCGGACGTATATTTGGCCAGTGTTACTGGAACAGTCCCCGTCACTAGCACCTGTAGGCGCGAGACCAGCGCTACATAATTGAGCCAAAGTTAATCTTGACAGCTATCAAACGGCCTTTTCATTTGTCGCATCGACTCACTTGGTGTCTCCTTCTGCATCGACCCCTGGAAAAGGAACGCATCCGTTCACTACATATAGGTATGGCTGGTACGCGAGATAGACATCGCCAGTAGTGCCGCTTGGAACAGTCTGGGGAAATCCCACAATGTCGTCACTGCCAATAGTGCCACGTCTATCGTGAGCGGTGGCTGTGCCAGCAGCCAAAGAGGCTAGGATACTGAAGGAAATGGCTTTCATTTCTTCACAGCAGGTTGAAAATTGAAAGTTGTCATCAATATTTTGATATGCAACTCTAGGTCGAATTTATATATTAGGGAAATTCCAGACGTCGGAATCTCTCTCTCTCTCTTTTTCTTTTTCCTTT